CCAGCCTTAACATATTCAAATTCCATTGCAAAGCTTTTATCCAGAGTCATTGAAAGACATCAACAGAAAACCTTTCTACGACTTACAATTCTATAGAAACGGCAAACGGTTCGTTCGCAGTCAACCGTGACGGCTCGTTTTTAGGAACGGACATCCTCGTACTGCGCATTCAGTAATGAAGTCTTTAGTTAGTTTCGAAATGCTAATTAATTTTCAGCTTCCTGTCTATTCTGAAAGAATGAATGTTTCTTATTCTGTTCGTTTATCAGCGAAATTATTTTATGTATCCTGTTATTAATTCAAAAATGGTTTGGAACAAATCAAGAAATTGTGCGAAGAAGCATTTAATTTATGTTATAAGCTGTGACATAACTATAAAAAATTTGAAAAGATAACAGATTTAAGCACGTGAAAATGAAGTGAATAATTGCTGCCAATGGCTATAAAGACTTCAGAATTAAAAATAAATTTAACTTTGTCCTTTCTTTAAATTAAGATTAGCTATTTTTTATTATTATTAATTAAGATTAGCTATATTTTTTGTATTAAATAACCACAAACATACTCTGCTTTAGGACACTCCATTTTTCAATTATTATTATTTTTCATTTATAATTAGAATCCAACTATTAGGCACGCACTCTGTAGGGTTCTTTTAGAATTTTTCGAGTGAGAAATAAGATAAATCAGTGATGCCCTAGCCGACATTCGAACTTAGAATGATCTCATTTGCTAGCCTGACATTTTTCCAAGTAACACCATGAAGGCAGGCGCTGAGGAAGCAGAAAATTCCTTATTAAGCCTGCTCTTTCGATTTACTTCAGCATGTTTTGTGAGTTAAAAAATAAGTTTTTATTTACGTAACTGAACTACTGCATATTTATTCGGAAGCTCGTGCCCTTCGTCGCATAACGAACACGACGCACAGCAAATTTGCCTTAGAATGAAGACGTGCATGGAATAAAAAATGTTCCAGATTGCAAATCATACTCGAGTTTGATACATTAAATACGTAGTTGCGTTCGTTTTACTCTCTCTCTTTAAACGATGCTTTAACCACAAAATGTATCAAGACCACAAGCAGAGGAGCGGGTAAGTCAACATATCATCTTTTAATATTATATAACATCTAAAAAAATTGCAAGCCTGTTTGATAAAGAACATGAGGAAGCATAACTTGAAGCTCCTGCTGGAGGATGCTACAGCTTAACAGAAGGTATGGAACAGGATTCAGAAATGGAAATTAGACGGAATTCCTATTTGTAAAGTATAAATTTACTTAATTAGAAGTTGGAAAAATTTAGATCGCAGCTATGCTATGAATCCCACTAAGTTGAGATGAATAGAGCTAATCTGTTTAATTAGAGTGCCATCTACTTCTCGGGACAATCTTTAAGATACTCTTTTAGACAATTTATTCAAACCTGGGCATTCTGTAAAATTCAGGACTGTTGCTTAAGAAGGTCAACTTGCACGAAACCTTGCTTCTTCATTGCTAAATTTTGGCTCCTCCTTGATGATCAGGCGACTTATCGCCTTATCTTAGGACTTCCAATAAAATAACGCCGAAATCTCAAAAAAAAACTTTTTTTTAACGAAACTACACAACTCATGTAGTAATAGGGTCATTACTTTTTATCGGTAAGTCATTACTTTTTATCGGAATTGCAGAACGTAAAATTTAATTTAAACTTTGTAAAGTTGCGCGCTTCCAACCTGCACGCAATATGCAAGTGGTGACTGCTCAGAACTGAAAATAGACCAAAGTCTTGAGAAGGGTTTAAATCCCTTTTTATTCAACTTTAGAAATTACAAATGCGTGCTCTTGACGCTCACAAACGACGCCGACCCGGCGGTAAAATAAAAATAAGAAACTAAGAAAAGAATAGTAACAAGTGACTAACTATGAGGCTCTCTAAACGGAACTAACCTCACCGCGTTTTAAAATACCGCTGATAGTTCAGCAACTTCTGAATATTACGTTGAAAGATTAACAAATTGCCGAAGCAAGCACACAGGTCGAAACGCGTGGTTCTTCAATTTCTAACTAGCCACCTCCACGCTCGTGAAGTAAGAAAGCATACTTTCGAACTAGTTTCCTTTCTATTTAACTCAGAATACTTCCGCTGATAATTTGAATCCTTGCGCGTTCTACTAAAATTTACATACTCTGGCATTGGCAATTCCAGGGGAAAGTAAGGCTTGACAGGAAAGATAGTTTAAACTTAAAATAAATGTTAGTTAAAATAAATATAAACCCTACAACTTTAAGAAAAATGAAATATAAATTCATGCGACAAAGTCCAGTTATTAGTTTTGGCTCAGGCTCTCATACTAGCAAATATAGCTAGTAAGAGCTAAAGCCGATTGAAGCAAAGCTAGAAGGTGGACTAAAATAGTTCAGAGATTGTCAGCGGTGACGAAAACTATCTATGACTTCTTAAAAACTCTGTTCTTATTTACATTAACTAAACTGCACCCTGATGAGAATCGACGAAAAAGAAGTGGCAGTAAAGATACAAATAATAAGGTAATAGGTTAATAAACATAAAACCCTTCAAGCTGAATTTATTAACCTCCTATGGAAGTCTAAGAAAACTCAGACTAAACTAAAATATTGTGTATATAATATACGCAAATACTTTTCATAATTTAGTAAATTTCTAACATTTCCAGCACCGGCGGTATTTTTAATATCCTCTAAATATTTGTTATGATATTTCCTGATTTAGGGATCAGGTCGAAACCACTTACAATTATTCCCATAACAACGCATGGGAAACAGCATCCAGCATAATTTGCGGAATGAGGGATTCACATGACAAAAAGCCATCATAGAAAGAATTATGTTCGTTAAGCGAGATACAACTGTATTCTCAGTTGCATGGAATATTTTATCGATTAATAATTACTTTCATAGATTTTAAAAATTATAAGTTTCAAAATTTCGTAAGTTTTAATAATCATTTTTAAACTAATATATATTTGCTAGCAATTTACCGGCTAGCTGAAAGTATTCTCGAAATCTTAGTACTTATAAAGAAACAAATTATGCATCATTACTTATTGTTCAAACTGCAGACCTCCTACCATGACTTTTGAGGCATACTTGGGCACTTACGTCAACGATCAATTGAGAGTTAAAGAAGGATGTCAGTTTCTCAAGCATTATGACATTCATCAAAAGCGTAAATTTCATTTTATTAATTTTAGTATATCTTTTCCACTGTCACGTGATGTCATTCGTGCAAGTATTGTCTAACAGTGACAATAAAGTTGTGATTCCATGAGTTAACCAATGCTGATTCATCTATATTTTCAATAAAGAACAAATTTTAAGCAATTGCTGAATTGCAAAATATTTATTGTCATGTATAAGTAATGGGTGGCCATTCTGAAGGCATGTAAAAAATACACTCATATGTTTTTGCATCTGAAGATTTTCTAACGCGCACAACTTCTACAACTTGACAGATGTCAAAAAAGCACTCAAGCTCCTGCCATGTACTTTCTAGATGTTATTAGATCACATGTTTAAAAAATTTTCTTTGATATTTCCTACATTTTTACCTTTTTTCTGATATAACACAAACTTTAATTAAATCCTACACAGCAAAGTTCAGTTTTATTCATCTAGGCAACCAAGACGGGCTGCACTTTTGATCTATTATTTAAGAAAATATAGACAGTCTACTATATTAGCTATGATTTACTATAATGTATTACTGTGATTTATTATCTCCAATCCAAAGACAGGGCAAGTTTTGGTTGTATTTTAAAATGAATTTATTCTGAATTTTAATTTGAGGGCATGTAATGAGTGGATCTCTTGTGCCAAACTATTGTTTTGTATACCTTAAGGACCATGCTTTTATAATAATTAAAGCAAATAATGATAAATTAAAAAACTGTGCTTTGAAAAATATGGACAGTTAAAAAGAAAGCATATTCTCATACAGCACAACGCATCCTTAAGAAATAAAAGGTGTAAATCACTCCTTACTAGAGATGCTCTTATAGAAGACTAGTAACTGGGAACAATTATCTGGTAATTCATTGTGATGGTCTGGTGCTCCCCTTACCTATACCTATTATTTGTACCTCACTGCCCTTATGGGTATAGTGATACTTTTCAGCAGCTTCAGTCTAATTTTAGGTTTCTTGATGATATTAGATTTTGCTAGACTTTAATATATAAGTGAGTGTTCATTGTTATGGCATAAACAGCACAGTTGTCGTTGGTGTAAGCATCACAGAAAATTTTCCATCGATAATGCTTCAAGCGAACTTCTCCAAATTTCAGCCAATTAGAGAAAGGTAATCTAATACGTACTTGATCGTGGCCAAATTTTCGATCATTTCCAAGTCCCGCCGAGTATGTTCATTGGTCAGTTCTAAATTTCTTTTAAAAAAATTTTAGAGATAATTAAAGTTAAAAACAAATGCATTATTACTACAGAAATACATCTGACAACTCCCCATTTTTAGCAGAACAAAAATAAAACATCAAAAGTCTTTCAATTTCTCTTGGCAAGAGCAGGGTATTTTCTACCCCTGAACATGAATGCCAAACGATAATGCTTCGCAGAAATCGTCAGAACAATATCACGCATATTACTTTGATAAGTCGCTTTGCACTTTTCCTTATACTAGACTTGCCATATAATTACTTAAAACTTTAAAACCAAATCTTTATATCAGTTTCGTCTGACGCAGCAGAGTTCCGTTATTTACCAACGGAATTGTTAAACAAAATACTAATACCATTTGTGTCTTTTGTAATGTTATCCGGTTTGTGACTAGTATGTCATAGTGTGAATCTTCTTTACTTAGAAACAATAACAATACTTCATTTGCTATCAAGTCAATCTAATACAGTCGTTTCAATGCAATACTGGACTCATCATACTCTTTGATACATCATATTTCAGATGGCAAGAGCTTTTATGGAATACTATCTAAAAGTTCTGGGGAAATAACTTTACAAAAATGTGTTTTACCTGCATTGGTCGTCGCCATCTTTGCTTTCGGAAGAGAGTCCTTCTTGAACATTTTTCCGGCATCTCTTCAGAGTATCGTCGCTGCAGTCCTGAGCTCCGACTAAAACAATAAAAAATTCTGAATTAGTAAACGTCATTAAGTTTTTAATAATGCAATCAGTATTAAGAATAATTTGTACTTTTTCAAGAATGTGTACCGTATCTACTTAACATTCGCCAACACTTACACAGCAGGACCAGAAAATCCTATAATTCTTTTGTACTTAAACTAGCACAAATAGTTTTGTTTTATGCATATATGTATTTAACAACTGTTGCTGAGTACGGAAATGAATGAAGATACTTCATAAAACAAATTGATATTTGTACAACGGTATGACGGATTATTAAGTGTTATTTAATGTGACCTTTCATTTTTCTGAATTATCCCCCTAATTTTCAATATCATTTAAATCATTTTGTCAGCTTCTTGATCTCACCAGAAAGAAGTGTTTTGGTTATGCTTGAAACTAACAACATGCCATTTCTTTGACTTTGGAATCACTGTTCTCCACAATGTCCTTACGGGACACAAAATATACCATAATCAGAAACAGCGAGGTTTGGGCTATAGGACATATTCTAAAGTGTCGAATCAAATTCTGAATGATAATAATTATTACAGCAGTCATGCGAGAGTGTGCGCTCTCATGAAGGAAATTATTTCTTTAGCTCCGTTAGTTGATTTAATTAAAGCAACGCATGCGGGAGATATCTACCAAAGGCGAATGCTTGTAATTTACAATGTTATGTTACTTTTTCTTTCTTTTCTGTACAGGGCAAAATATATGCAGACTATATCTAGTCAGAATCGTAGTTCGCTGTTTGGTTAACGAATTATGCAATAGGTAAAACAAAGTTTATGTCGACAGACATAAACTTTGAGGACCAATACCAATCTTTAATCTATAGACTTTTTAAAGTATTCTTTTAAAACTTTGACTTTTTATTCAAATTTCAATCTGAAATTTAAAAAAAAAAAACCAAAATAGTAAATCAAATCACTTGCATACAGAATGTTTACATAAGGAAAAGTATGTTCAGCGATTTTTGAATATTATTTCCAAACACAAAATTCTCTTGATTCTGTAAGAAAGGGGTAATAATCAATAAAAATAATGATACCTTTTCTGTAAACCAAATAATTACAATTTGATTTTAAAGCTCTTACAATTATGTACAGTTTCTCGTGATAGAAAATTTTCGATTGTATAAATAACGACTTTTTGGCACGCCAAATTTTGAAAAAGTACCATAATTGTAAAAAAGAAAACCTTGAAAGGTTCTTGTATATTTTTACTGCAGAACAGAAGTAAACTTTTAGCTGATGATTATGTAATAGCCGACTGGCAGAACTCAACGTTAGCTAATATTCTTGTAGACTTGCCGCCCTTTCTAAATATTTCATAAGGGGAAAATAATCATTTACTGCTATATTATATCCTGGATACACGACGTTGATAGGAGCTAAACACTGAAAGAAACTCGTTTATGGAAAGGTATTCCATTGAAGGTATGAGTCTTTGTGTCGAATCAAGCTCTTTCTACAGGATTAGAAAGCACCCCTGGAGCGAGTCAACAAATCACTGGAATCAAGACAGCCGGCTCATTACTTCGCGGCTGCATTTTAATTTAATGTGCTTGCCTTGGACTCAGTCCAAAAACAAAGGCGTTTTCGAGGCGAAAGCTTTGTTTTCGATTTCAAGGTTCTTTGTTGAAAGAAGGAAAACATAACCGCTTCCGATATCACCCGCCCTCGACAAATCTCCCGTGATTCAGTGGATAAAATGCATTTATTACAAAGTGTTTACGCGCTCAGTATGTAAGCCTTGTTAACAACAGATCTTTTAAAGATAAATTGCAATGAAATCTTGCTGACGTCACTGGTTTTGCAATATTATGAATGAATGGCAGTCACTTTCCAAGAAAGAGTTTCACGCGATGTTAATTGAATGCAAATAATCACGCAGGATTTCGAAGCCCGAATAAATAGGTAAAAGGCCTTCGGCTTCACGTAACTCCGGATGTGGAAGACGAAATGATCAGTACTGAAGCGCGACCGTCAAAGCAACAGGGAAGAATCATTGGTTAAGATACACGACGCATAAGTATAAATATTATCATATACAGCCATTCTATTAATCATCTAGGAACTGAATTAGATGACCACTCAGTTTCAATAATCACGCTACGTACGGCATTAACAAAAGGAAGCGAAGTACATGTGAGTGTATAGTGCCCTATAAAGAGAAATTTCAAACTTAATGTTGACACGAAGATGTTAATTAACATATCTGTGATTCGACTAGCTTCTTTAAGTTCTTAGGAATGCAATTCTTATATGCATAGAAAGGTATTCAATGAAATCCTGTCACTAATGCAACTTAATTTGTGCAAAATACTATTCAATATAGCATTTTCCATGGAGTTAAATATTAGACACTACTCAGAATCGTTTATTCACGCCCAGACCTTGAGGTTCATCAGTTTTAGTAAAAGATTATTTTATTAGAGAAATTTTTTTTTAGAATTTTCTATTATTTATTTCATAAATGTAAAAAATCCCTGCATTGGGCTATTTTTAGAGGAAGGAGGACCTGGCATGAAAAGCTATATGACATTGAATAGTTTCATTCACACGACAAATACCGAATCCGTTGTTTCAAGAAATCAAGAGAGAGAAATAAGAAAAGAAAGGCAGTTCTAGCAGAAGATTATCATTTGTTAAGTCGGATGACAAAAAAACCACAAACAAAGCATTCAGCATTTTCATTCATGGGTGCGGAGTACAGGGGGAAACTTATTCTATCAATTTACATATATTAATCTATTTATCATTAACAGATATTTTTTGTCTAAAATATTTTACTATACAAGAAGTTTCTTAGCAGCTCGTGCTCAGAACAACAGCCAGTTAAACCGGCTTCTTGAGCTGTACAATTGAGCTACTTAAGGGAAGGAGTGTGTTAGTTGTGTATTCAGGGAATTTCTGAATTGTTACAGTCAGGGAAATAAATCGAACTATTTCATTTTCTTCGATTACTTATTTATTTGTGAACATTCTAATTATTATTCTAAGTGATCTGCATAAGAAGTGTAACTTGAATATCAATTTCATTGTAAGCTCTTCCAAAATTTTTCAACAATTGTCATTGAAATAATGTCGAAAGAAAGTAATTAGCCTTTAGTGTGTAAGTATTTTAAGTTTTACTAAGGTTTATTTTATTTTAAAACTTTACTGTCCTCTCTTATTTTCCACTTCCGGCCAGAATAAACGCGGTTAGTTTTAGTTATGCAAATTGAGCTTGCAAACTGTTAAGTATTTAAGTTGTGGCTTTTAGTCAAAAGGAATTAGAGAGAGAGACTTTTCGCTACCTTACCTCACACGCGCTTTTCAGTCAGTTGCAGTCCGCCTTTAAGGCCAGAATTTAGTCCTCTTGATACTAAAGACGTATTGTAGTTTTCTCGCATTCTGCGTACGATATACGTAAAGATTAAAAGCCCAATCTTCGCGTTACTAGTCTTTGTAAAGCACCTGAGTTTAGTTCTTACTTAATTTAGTTAGTTTTTAGTTATTATTTTTACGTTTCAGACCATAAGTACTGGTCTTTTTATCTCAAAGTGCGCGAACAGCGTAAACTGTGAAGAATAAAGGGTAATTAAACCCTTTTCATTTGTGACGTATCTCCTACAATTGCAACGAACATAGTTTTATGTAAACTCCCTGTTCTACTCAGGACTCCAACATGTTCGCAAAGTTTTTTAGAAGAAGTCAATAAGTGTATCTCAAACAGATTATTTGGTTATTGCAAACAAGACTATTTATATTATGTTTTGGGAATGAACAATACAATATGTAATGTACAGCAAATATTCTGGAATAATAAACATTGGAGGTTCTTTGAATATGGCTAAGCAGATGAGAGATGTGAGATGCTTCCTGGAGGATTTTCTAAGGTTATTTCAAGATTCTTGTGGAATTCATTTCAAGTAGTCTTTGCATGAAGATAATTCTAAGCTGGTTAGAAGTATGAAATTATGCAAAAACTCAGAAGTTGGGTCAAGACTAATAACATTCTTTAAATAAACCGCGGTTTGCCCCCCCCCAAAAAAAAGCAAAAGAAATTTGCTAAAGAAAGACATAGTGTTTGAGCGTCTTTAAATACGACAGAGTTTTTTCCCTAAATCTGAGCCAGTCTAACTATGCATTTTGCCTAATTTGCAAATCTGAATACACTGACTACCAATAAGTATTTGGACACCTGTGATAGAAAAGAAAAACTAACTTTATTCAAAATCAATAGTTGGTAGAGCCTCCACGAGAGGTAATTACAGCGTGGACCCTCCGGGGCATACTTTCCACAAATCTTTGTATGACAGCTAGTGGTATTTTCTTCCACTCGGCTTGGAGAAGACATAGAAGTTCCTTCACCGATTTTGCACGGGTAGTGCACCCCTGAATTCGGCGATGCAACTCGTCTCAGAGGTTCTCGATAGGGTTCAGGTCTGAACTCTGGGCAGGCCAGTCCATTCGATGAACTCCATTGGCACCGTACCAAGCCTTGGTTAACGTCGAAACATGACAACTGGCATTGTCGTCCTGAAAGTAACAGGGGTCCAACCCGTAAAACTGCCACAACGTAGGAAGCACATTGTCATCCAAAATAGTGCAGAAGGCATCGGAGTTGAGGTTACCATGATTGGGGACCAAGGGTCCCAGCCCATACCAGGAGAACCATCCCCATACCATAATTCCACCTCCGCCGAACTTGACTGTTGGCACAATGCATTCTGGCAGGAGACGTTCTCCAGGTAGACGCCAGACCCAGACCCTGCCATCCGAACGGTAAAGGGTGAACCTTGAATCGTCACTCCAAAGACCCGTTTCCGCTTTGCACCACATTAACCGAGCAGCGCGGTTGGACTTTGTGATCAAAGGCTTATGGGCAGCATCACGACCATGAAAACCAAGCAGATGTGCTTCCTTACGGATGGTATTTATTGAAACAATACTCCCGGATGCCTGTTGAAACTCCTCGCGGATGAGGGCCATCGGTTGGG